TAGCGGTGTCAAAGGAAAAATATCTTTTCTTTTTTTTTTGATTTTTGCAAGCAAAAAGGTTCAAGTTTTCCCAATTCTTTTTGTATTAAATTTACAGAAACTCTTTTTATCAGAAACATTTTAGAGAAAGAGAAAACCTAAAAGGAAGAAAGAGATGACAAAGTTGCTTAATCTCATGATGATTAAAATTCGAGAAAATGTAGAAAATGTTATCTGTTTGACCCCTTCAAACAATTAAACATAGGTCGATTTGAGAACTTTTCAGCACATACCTTGTTTACTTTTTAAAACATGCAATGTTCCTGCTATTTGTAGAACTTCATAAAATGTTTGAGATAATGATTGACTTCATTTTTAAAATCTGAGTTAAGCATCTGATCAAATACAGTGACTGAGGAGCAGGTGATTTTTATGCTATATCTCTTCAGATGATCATGGTTCTCCACAGCTTTCTTTTTATTTACTATCTGTGAATAGCCACAACTTCTTGGGAAAGATAAGTTCTTACTGGTTGATTTTCCACGGATTTTAATTTAATTGCCCTTTTCCAAGATTGAATGCTATTCAAGGCTATAAATCTTAGTCTACCTTGTTATATTTAACCGATAACTGAAAGAGAGAAAGGATGGATTCATTAGTGTGACATGAGCGCAGTTTGAACATGGCTTCCTTATTCCACTCTCTACACCGATAATCCTTACGTTATCTGCACATCCTACTTCCTAATATTGTAATATAGCTTAGTACGATTGATACACCCATTTAATAAACTTGCAAGGGGAGAGTTTAGTGGTCGGGTAGACAGTAATAGTGAAATGCGTTTCAATTTAAGATATTTGCGTGAGGAGAACGAATGCTGAAATACCGGCAAGCAAAATTAAAAATTATATCGACCTGTGTTAGTAAAATTTGAAGCAGGCCAATTCGCATGAGAAAAATTAGCAGGTGCTTACAGTGACGGATAATAAATTTAGGTTTAATGATTAATCACAAGATTTACAATCGTATTATAATCTCCTCCTCTAATAAAATACAAGGGTGAGCTGTAAAGTTCATAGGCTGACTGTAAAGGAATAATGTTAGAACTGTGAAATCTTGCATACATTAATTTCACCTGCATTGTTTCTTTCCAGGTAAAATGACATCTGACTGTCCAAGGAATATTGCTCCTCTTGGTCAAAAAAAGTCATCAGCAGCAGTTATGTCATTATCACTGCGATACTGATTCCGAGTCAATTTTGTTGTTTGTTTTTTTTTTCATGTTGGGGAACAGATGATAGTCAAATCAGAATATGGAGAGTGATGAACCAGTTCAAAGCCATAGTCACGCATAGCAGCCATTGAAATCAAGGACTTCAGGGCTAAGGCATTGTCCCGGGGAAACAATATCCCTTTTCTTAGGCGTTTAATTTTGATAGTCTTTCGTAACTATCTCAGCAAGTTGGCATAGTCGGTGTGGCCCTCCTGAAGATAGTAACCATCTAAAAAAAAAAAAACACTGAGGCCATCACATTCCCTGCAGATGAAACATCATTGGCCTTCTCGGGAGCAGGTTAGGGGAGATGTTTCTACTATATGGACTGTCTCATGATTTCTTGGTTAAAGTGATGAACGCAACACTCATCCTGGGTTAGGAAATGTTTAAGGAAACTCTGCCTCAAACAATGTCAGATTTTCCTATAATGTGATCAATCTGTGCTCTTTTGATCAGTAGTCAGAAGAGGTCATGTGAAGTTCACTCACAGGATATTTCAATTAGTATCGACTATTTGATCTATAGTTAATCACATGTCATCCATCACCATGTAGTAAATACAGTCAGTGCTTTCCTCGGTGGTGACAGTTGCAGGACGTACAGACCTTAATTCATCTCCAAAGCTCCCCCTTCTCCTCCTAAATTAAGCTGCCTACTTTTGCACTGTTAATGTCGTCTTCTAATGCAGCAATCATGACAGCATCAGTGTCCTTGGGGGATAAACTTTTTTTCTGTAGGTATTTGATAACACCACGATGCCACATTTTCTCCATTTTCAAGAGAAGTGGCGACTTTTGAAGTCTTTTTGAACAATCAGATATCAGTTTACTTGGAAAGAAACAATGTACTATAAGACGAGTTGAAATGAATGCATGCAAGATTTCAAAGATCTAGTATCATTCCTTCATAGTCAGCCTATGAACCTTTCAGTCCACCCTCATACCTTTTGAAAAAATATATCATTTATACATCGGCTTTTAGTGCCATCGTTTTCCACCAATTTTCATTCATCATGCTTACGATTCACGATACCGTTTTCATCAATTGTTCTTTTTTAATTAACGTTTAAGTCTCATAATGAAGACTTGCTTTCCTACTCTCGCGATATCTAGGCTTTTATTTCCGATACGTTTCATGTTCCAAAAACGAATTTTGAACATTTGTTCATATGGCAAAGATTAACTAAGCTACAAAGAAGATGAGCAAAAAAGAATTGTTTAAATTTTATTTAAACCGAATTTCATATTAACCCATTTATACGATCCGTACCTAAACTTTTTTAGAGGGAGGAATAATATTTTATTTGCAGTTTTTTGCTGCTATTTTTCCAATGAAACGGTAAATTTAATAAACGCAACTTTATATCCTTCGTATCGAGGTTTATGTGCGATTGATGTTTCGATTGTTTGTTACTCCAATTTTCCCAGCGCCTAATCATAGTTGATAGCTTTTGTTTTTGTTTTTTTTTTGTTTTGTTTTTTGTTTGTTTTTTTTGTTTTTTTTTATAAAAAAGTTTTCAAATGTATATTTCTGAAAACTTATGTGCTGGATGAAATTTTGTTTCATTTTCTTCAGATTCCAGTCAGTAATAAGAAAAATAAGACCTGATCCTGATGACGACTTTTGATTATTTTTTTTTTAATCATTTCACAACCTCCCCACCTCCAAGTATGGCAATAAAGTCACTCAAACTGCTTACAAAGATTGGGAACTGATTTTGTTTTTGCCACTAAGACGCAAGGAGGCTACTGGGAGTGAAGGAGAATTAAAAAGACTTTAGAAGGAACCGGAAACCCAATACTAAACAGAAAACAAGGTATAAACCTCTACTCGTGTTCAAAAGATCGGGGAGGAGTGTGAACCGGATGATAAGTGAACCTATCTAAACTTATACCGTTTTAAGGAGAAACAGTCAATTTTCTTTTGCTGTACAAAAGGTGATGTTTCTCTATTTCACCTTAATGAACTGAAATACTAATCTAAATAACCTTTATAACATTTTGCTTTTAAATTAAAATGCCCTGCAATCATTTCTGTGAAAATGTAAATTTTGGTTTTAACTACAAAGAAACTAGCATAAAAATGTATGGATTTTCAAAAATACGTAGTAATTTGTAAGTTAAACGTGCTTAGAGCAATCAAAGAAGTTAATTTAATTGTTCTATTAATGACTTTCTATATATGCTAATTACATAATCTCTGTAGATAGTAAAAGAATTACATTTTTTCTTTTTATTAGATATTTTTGGTTCATTGCAATTTGTAAAACTTTACATTTCTTGATCAGTCAAACACAATTAGTTTAAAATACTGAGAAAATACTTCCAGACATTTTCTTAATCGTGACATTTTCTAAATCTTCTATTAAAGAGGTAAAAATGTTAAGTGATTTAATTTCGACAGGAATTCTATTTACACAAATGTAAATATTTGAAATTTCCTAACAGTAGACAAAGAGCGTTTGACTAACCTCGAAATAGTTTATTCTACAAAATTTTCTTAAAAAAACTTTGTTGGAATTAAATCAGCTCATAAATGAATCAAGCAATTTATGAACATTCGATAATTAGATTTTCTAGTGACATTTTTTAATCTAAGTTATTCGCGTAAAAATCGTTTTTATATAAATTATTACATCAGATTGTTTTATACAGTGTAAACAACTTTCAACACACAATTTCTCCAGTTCTTATATAGAGGACAGAAATAAATTTTATTATTTACATTTAGTTGAATGTCCTCATCTTTGTTATCACGACGTTTCAGCCATTGTGCACTCCGACTTCCATCAGTTGTCTGTCGATCCGGGTAACCTAAAGGGAATTTTGGAGTGAACCCTTTATTTAATCTATAAGGGTAGAGTGTTCTCGCTCCACTCCCAATGTCTAGGGATATCTCGTCAGTTTGTTTTTAGTACAGCTCACTAGGTAAGCCTAGTAGATTCAATCGTGGGTTCATTAATTGTGAGTTCAATCCTTGAGTTGGTTAGTGCAGACCTAAATTCAATAAAAACCGGACAACTGGTCTGTAGTGTAAAATAATAACAACAATAATAATAATAATAAACAAGATGCTATATCTGTAGATATGGAGAGTCTACATTTTATAGATGAAATAAAGGGTTAAGTTCCTGAAATTCCGTGAAAGTTACCAAAATCTACAAACATCTGAAGAAGGCCGGTGTTCACAACAGCCGAAATTTTTTGATAACGACAAAGATGAAGAGATTAGTTTGAATTAGTATAGACAATGATAGTTCTTCATCTCAGATATTCAGACAAAAATTTTATATCGAAACTTTTTCATTTTTTTTTTCTTTTTACTAATTACGTAAAGATTATGGTGATAAAATCAACTTTTATTTATTCAAGAATTAGACTTTTCTCATCGTAAAGTCTCTTTACAATTTAAAAAAAAACAATATCGGAGAAGCAAATGAACAGATATGTGAAAATTGTTACAAAATGAGGAGTATTTATTGAAATTTTAACTAATTTAATCCACCTCTATATAGGCACCATTAGTTGCATGGAGCACATCAAGACGGTACTCGATTTCTTGCTATGTTTGCTGTAGCACAGCCTCATCGATGGTTTATCATTTGACTCGAGTGGCTGTAAGAGTTTCACATCGCAAGTTCTTATGTAGGACTTTTTGTACTGTTGAACGTGGCAGCTGTAACCGTCTGGCAGCAGTACGGATGGACTTTGTAAGAGAACGCTGAAAGGTTTGTCTTACACGATCAATGTTTTTCTCAGATGTTCTTGGTCGTCCCCTACTCCCTTTATCCAACGCTATCCCTGTCTCCATAAATTTCTTGAGTCATGCACAAATTGACGGGCGTGACGGTGATTCTCTTCCATACATAGTTCTTAGTTCTTTTCTTTCATTAATAAGATACATTAAATACACACATACAATTTGATTAAAAAACTTTGTTTACTACTGAGTACATAGAACAAATCTGATAAAGATATCTGATAAATTTCCTTTATTTTTAAATTGTAAAGAGACTTTATGGACACATTGTATATCGGGTTTGCGGAATAAATAAATTCCTGGATATATCTTAATTAAATCTGAAAGTATTACGTCCAATGCGTTTTTATTTTAGACAAAATAATTTTACGCTTACACTTGCAAGTAGGAAAGACTTATGATTAATTATTGAATCATACATACATACATACATATATATATATATATATATATATATATATATATATATATATGTATATAATATTATTATAATTGTACTTCGTCAGGCGATGGTAGATAACTTGTGATAAAAATGATTTATTAGGGAAATTTGAAAACAAATCGTTACCTTTTTCGGAAGTTAAATGAGGAGCATACGGTCAGAATTAAAAATATACTTGTAGGTATGTATAGATTAACCAATTAAAAGTCAGATCAACGCTAAAATAGAAAAATAAGGTTGGAGGTGGGTGGGTTATTTATTCATGTCAAGATAAATTAACGCTTCAACATGTCATTCAAGAATCGTAGGAAGCATGTCAGCGACAAATGTATTATGGATGTAGCCAAGTATGATGTTCCGATTTGTTGAAGTAGGCATAAAGTTTAAACGAATTTTTAAAAAAATTTTTTTTTACTTTTTTTTTAGATACTCAGGAAGCTTCTTAAAGGGGCCAATGGGTAAATTTGAATATGTGGAACATCTACTGAATTAAACCTGGCAATATTAAAGTTGAATAAATCAAATAAATATTGGGTGGACCACTGTATACTAATAAAATAATGGCGATGTCATTATGATATGTAATTATTTATGAAAAAATCTTTTAACTATATTTTAAGCTAGAAGGTAGACAATGCCGGCATAATACAGTTAATTCATTTCTTTAGTTTAACAGAGCTTTATTATTAGGAAACTTTATATGTATTTTTTCTTTTTTTTTTTTTTTTGTAAACTCAGGGAACATAGATCATGTAAGGATTTACAAGTTCTATTTTTTTTTTAATATTTTTAAAAAAAGTAGTACGTTTCCGACGATCCTTGAATGACATGTCTAAGTGTTAATTTATTTCGACACGAATAAATAACACAACCACCTACCTTATTTTTATATTTTAGCTTAGATCTAACTTTTAATTGGTTAATCTAGACATATCCATGAGTATATTTTTAATTCTGACTTTATGCCCCTCTTAACTTCTAAAAAGAAGTAATGATTTGTATTCAAAATTTCCCTAATAAATCATTTTTATCACAAGTTATCTACTATAACCTGAGGAAGTACAATTATAATGAAAGTTTTTTTTGTAGTGATGTAAAATGTTTTTATTGTAATCTACTATAATAAAAAATATTTTGCTCTACTTTGTATTGAGCACTTTTTTAGAATGCTATGAACTGTGGATTTTTACTACATCAGTTCTTTTCTTATCTATATATATATATATATATATATATATATATATATATATATATATATATATGAGAAAGAGAGAGAAGTGAAAACTATGACAATATGGGAAAAGTTCATAGTATTTAGATATCGTTTACCTCTATACGTTGTGCCTTCTCGGGTTAATGTTCAGTTGACATGAAGTGGAATCCATTTTATTTAACCCATTCCTAGGTCAGCTGCTAAGGTAGTTGATTCACTTTTCTCTCTAGAATCTATCCTATATATATCTATAAATCTACTATGTGAATTGGTGCTCCATCACCGTCTTTAAAAACTTACCAATAAAACTTTAATACTTAGAATATTGCTGCTACATATGGTCCGGTGCCCCTGCTATTTACATTGCGTTCTTTGATAAACTCCAAAGAAAAATCGGCAATATTATTAGTCCTAATCTGGCGGCTCGGTTTCAGTCACATCCCCACTGCCATAAGGTTACTGCTTTGTCTTTTTCTATGAATACTTTCATGTTAATTGTTGGGGTGAGCTCTTCGCTCTGGTACATAGACTTTTAACTTAAGCGCAGAACAAGGGATCGAGATCTCGTCAAATTACAGTTGAGCTGGTTAGATGCAGCTGTAACTTCTATGCTGACAGTTTCTTTTCTCGGGCTTCTTGTTTGTAGAACTCTCTTGCGGCTCCATGTTTTACAGCCAACTTTAATCTGCAAAAATTTAAATACAATGTCAATCCCTATCTACTGTCGTCCTGATTACTCTTTCCTCTTCCAGCTCATTATTAATGTTTTTGTTCCTAATTCTCCCACACCTAATAACCCCCTAGTGTCATAAGTAGTTTTACTGCCTTTCATTGAGTCATACTGTTTAATATATATATATATATATATGTGTGTGTCTGTGTGTATGTGAATGACTCCAACATTGTAATAAAATATTTTTCCATATAAAGCTGAACTTTTTTTTTCTTTTTCTTATTATTATTATTATTATTATTAACGAGTTGAGTCACTTCAGATATTTTATTTTAAAATAAATTGGATGACATGAGTGGAATATTTTGAATGTTGTGTAACCTGCCAGGGTTACTAGTTTTAATAATCGGTCTCCCTGGCTGGTGGTGGTGTTGATGGTGGTGAGGGAGGAGGGGGGAAGAGTAATAATTTCAGATGTACTTTTAAAAGCATTACTGTTATTTTCGATAAAAAAAAATATATTAATAAGCCGAGCGCATCTAACGTTGAATAGGTTTTATTCCTACGAAACCTGATGATGACTCGTTCGATCGTTCAACCGTTAATCTCAAGCAGATTTCGTGGGAAAATCTAATATATATTCTGTAGTTCACTGCTACCAGCAAGCAAAATTTTTTTTCCTGATGATGGCCATGTTGGCCGAAACTAGCCGAAAAATCTAAATGAAATAATAATAATAAAAACGAAAGAATATTAATATACAACCGAGTGTGTCTGAAGATTTTAATTTTTTAATATTTTTTATTGTACAATATATATATATATATATATATATATATATATATATATATATATATATAAGAGACTGTCTGACCAACACAAGGGCTGACCAAAATTCATGTTAAAAAAATTAAAATTAAAACAAATGAAAACTACAGACAAAAGTTGATTTTCTCCGAGACATTCATTTCTGTAGTTCATTGCTACCAGCAAGCAATTTTTTTTTCTCCTGATGATGCCCATGTTGGCCGAAACTAGTCGAGGAATCTAAATGAAATAATGATAAAAACGAAAGAATATTAATATATGACCCAGTGTGTATGAAGATATTAGATTTTTTAATATTTTTTATTCTTCAATATATATATATATATATATATATATGTGTGTGTGTGTGTGTGTCTCAAATTACATAATTTTATAAAAAATAAAAGCTAGATATATATATTTATGCATCGCCCCTTGATGTGAAATGGAATAAAACGACATTTTTTAACGTTAGCATTTGCAACAATATCAGTCATTAACTGATGCCTCGAACATTGTATGTAGAATGTCCATCCCTTCTTTATTTTAATAGGAAATGACCCAGAGTCCTACATTCACGATATTATTTATAATGGATAATTATTTTCTAAATAATATATTATCTAATTAAAAACAAAAGCGCAAATCGTCCCGCCTTCATTTGTCAGCTTAATATATTAAAAATAATTTTTTATACAATGTTACAAAATCGAGGTTTTAATGGCGAATAGATTTTCTTTTGGCAATTAACATGAACTACCTGAGTATTTAAAGGACAGAAGCATTTTGATGAGAAATAGATGGCTTTTTATCATTTTACTACAAGCGAACTCATCCTGGCTGAGACGATAAACTTCATCCGCGTCCTGGATAAGACGATAAACTACGTCCGCTAACAAGACTTCTGATCAGGTGGTTCTGAGGGGCATGGAACCAACTATTAATTGCTGATATTCCCAGGTCCATTCTGGCTCAGGGTGGTAGCACCTGTTAGGGTCCCAGCTATGAGCAAATAGTTAACCCCCAAACCGGTGTCAAAATACTGTGAAAGTGTAAAAATAGGTTTTAATACCAGAAATACTTTGTAAAAAATTATTACCAGAAATAAATTTTGGAAAAAAAAATTACCAGCAATACATTTTTGGAAAGAAATTTACCAGAAATAGATTTTTGAAGGAAAAACATATTACCAGCAATAAAAATTTTGTCAGCATTAAATAACCCATTACCGTAAACGAAACCAAACTGCGTCCTGGGTATGACGATAAACTACATCCGCGTTCTGGGTATGATTATAAACTACATCCGCGTCCTGGGTATGACGATAAACTACGTCCAACAGCAAGGCCTCTGATAATACGCTTTTGAATATTGATATTGCCAGCTGTAAGTTTTTGAAAAAAATAATATTACCATTACCAGTTGTATATTTTTGAAAAAATAATATTACCAGATATACGTTTTTGAAGAAATATCATTATGTTTTGGAAAAATAATATTACCAGCTGTACGTTTTTGAAAAAATAATATTGCCAGCCATACATTTTTGAGGAAAAAAGTATTAACAGATATAGATTTTTGACAAAACAAAAGTATTACCAGGAAAGAAAAAAGTTGTCGCTATTAAATGACCCATTGAGGTTGCTATTTACCTTGCGTTCTTTGATAAACTCCAAAGAAAAATCGGCAATATTATTAGTCCTAATCTGGCGGCTCGGTTTCAGTCACATCCCCACTGCCATAAGGTTACTGCTTTGTCTTTTTCTATGAATACTTTCATGTTAATTGTTGGGGTGAGCTCTTCGCTCTGGTACATAGACTTTTAACTTAAGCGCAGAACAAGGGATCGAGATCTCGTCAAATTACAGTTGAGCTGGTTAGATGCAGCTGTAACTTCTATGCTGACAGTTTCTTTTCTCGGGCTTCTTGTTTGTGGAACTCACTTCCGACTCCATGTTTTAAAGCCAACTTTAATCTGCAAAAATTTAAATACAATGTCAATCACTATCTACTGTCGTCCTGATTAATTGTAAAACAAACCAAACCCAAGCAAGGCAATAAAGCCACTAAGACGCAAGTGGTTACTGAGCGTTAGAGAATATGAGAAAGACTACTATTAAGGACAAGAATAAACATTAAGAAGACTGGGGATAGCGATTGGCTTCTCTTTTTTCCTAAATTACTATCAAATTTATCATCATCAGTGGATCAGTATATAAGCCTGTCTCTGTCAAGGTTGAAAAAGGATGCAAATATAGTTTCGTATGCCCATGTTTTCCTCGGATTTAGATTATTTTAAATCCAGAATAAATAAATCAAAATCGTCATTATTTTGACTAACAATATTTTGTTTAACCAATCGAAGGCTCAAGAGCCATTCATGGTAGTGGGGTTACTGAATGATGTTGTTATTAAATCAGAAAGCTTTGAAAAGAACATAGTCTTCATGGTTTGGTACAAACCCAACATTGTCACGAAGATGAGCCGTCGTGGCTAGGTTTGTCCACCAATATAAATGATTAAAATTCACTTTTTATTTGTTATTTAATTGAAAAGAACAAAAGATGCCCGACAAAAATAAACCTTATGAAGCTATGCTTCTTATAATCCGAGCGTTGACATAAAAATGAATTCTTAAAAATATTATTTGCGCTGCCAATTTATTTTCAAATAGAACTTTCTATGCATCATTTTAACAAACTGTAACTGATGCGAGTAATCTGCATTTGTCGTTGTTTGGCCTATGCACATATTTGCGAAGAAGCTTGCGTTTCAAACATCACAAGATGGATAAATATTTCATTTTAATGTTTAAAACTTTTCCACACACCCACTTACAGTATTATTATTATTATTATTATTATTATTATTATACTAACAGATGTTTATTTTTCCAAGAATTACGTGCCTTTAAGCATCGTATCGTTTTCTTTGCCAAGTGTGTTTAATACCGCTGTCAGCTTTACATCTAATTTTGCTGAACCAAATTCACCCAGTAACATTCGGTGTCAATGAGTGCGAAAGAGACGAACATTTATGATCGAAACGTCAACCATAATAACTTAAATCAGTTAACCCTGATTGAAAATATTCATATGAAATAGGTTAAAATACTGAATTAGGACTGGATTGTAAGCATAGAATGATGGTATCTCCCTGGGAATTCAATGGATTTGTCTCTTTCTTTTAACCCTTATACGAATCCATATCTTTGCTCAGCAACTAAAGCTTGTGACCTGAATAGCAAGGCAGGACTGATCACACTAGTCATGGGCGGTAGTCAGTTTTGTAGAACGACTACTCGAAATTCAAAATTGTGGCTAAAAGCAACAAGAAACCACTTCCTTATCTTTTCCAAACAAGCCACTCCCAGATAATAAAGAAAAGGAACTTGTGGAGAGCCATGGACGCCTACATTCTAAAGGAATCTAAATAAATAAAATTAATTTCTGCTAATCTGTTTTGTAAAAAGTGGACATCTACGATGATTCTTTATTTTTTTTAATTATCCTTCCCCACCCCACAAATTTATCATTCTGGATCTCTTTCTCCCTCCTCCCATTCCGATCACTCTCTTTTTCTCGGCCTCGCCCACGATCAGTCTCTCTCTCTCTCTCTCTCTCTCTCTCTCTCTCTCTCTCTCTCTCTCGGACTCTTCTATGAACTATCTCTCTCTGTCTCGACCTCTCCCACTACTCTCTCTCTCTCTTACATCTCTCTCAGACTTTTACTTCCACAATCCTTCTTTGAACTCATCTCTCTCTCTCTCTCTCTCTCTCTCCCCCCCCCACCTTCCCTGTCTCAGTCAGTCTCTCTCTCTCCTCCACATCTCTCTCTCTGTCTCAGACTTCTCTCTCTCCTCCCCCACCTTCCCTTCTCAGTCAGTCTCTCTCTCTCTCTCCCCCACCTTCCCTGTGTCAGTCTCTCTCTCTCTCTCTCTCTCCCCCACCTTCCCTGTCCCAGTCAGTCTCTCTCTCTCTCCTCCACCCCACCTTCCCTGTCTCAGTCAGTCTCTCTCTCTCTCTCCCCACCTTCCCTGTCTCAGTCAGTCTCTCTCTCTCCCCCCCACCTTCCCTGTCTCAGTCAGTCTCTCTCTCTCCCCCCACCTTCCCTGTCTCAGTCAGTCTCTCTCTCTCTCCTCCCCCACCTTCCCTGTCTCAGTCAGTCTCTCTCTCTCTCCTCCCCCACCTTCCCTGTCTCAGTCAGTCTCTCTCTCTCTCCTCCCCCACCTTCCCTGTCTCAGTCAGTCTCTCTCTCTCTCCTCCCCTAAGCTTTTAATCGTTTACACTTTTTCCTCTTATTCTCTTTCGTTTTCAGTTATATATTTTGTCTAGTAATTTATAATTTGTAAATTACCAAATCAATCCCCAGTTGGCCGATTTACTCTATTTGTAGTAGCAATGACTGCAACAATCCATTCTATGCCAACCAATTAATTTCCTTCTTAATGATTCGTGTCAAGGATAACACACTTCTTCCTTCAAAAAAGAAAAAAAATGATTATGACAACAAGCGCCTTAATCTGAAGGAAACGCATTTCATTTGCGTTTCTCATCAAAGGCATCAAAATTTACCAAATTCCGATTATGAATTGTAATTTATTTCAAAATCGATTCGATCAACGATTAAAGAATTACAATTGATTATCGGTAATTATTTATTTTTCGTTCAAGCTTATCTTAAAAGTCGAAGCACAATATTCAAGAGCCAAGGTGTGTTAGTGTGGTGAATGTACACCTGAGACATTCTCTCACATGTTAGTCAAATGTATTTTCATACCGTATCTGATGGTTAATGTGTTTAATAGAACTGGGCAAAAACTCAGGACGATGACAGTTTTATAGAATTTAAAATCATAAATTCTATTAGAAATAAAATTTCTTATATTTTAAGGGACAAAACAGGAATTTTAAAACTGACGAGTTATTAGATGTGTTGAAAAGTTTTTCATTCTGATCCAATTCTCAAAATGAAATGTTTAAGTTCTTCTTAGTTGAATTGAGAACATTTCAGTGCTTCTGTATAAATATTGACGTTTGCATGTATGTATATATATTTATATATTTTGCATATGTAAGTGTATATTTACCACTAATATATATATATATATATATATATATATATATATATATATATATATATATATATATATTATTAAAGAAAAACGCAAACGTTTTTTTGGTTGTAATGTGGATTTTTTTTTTTTTAAATATTATGCTTTATTTTCCATAATTCAATTTTCAGTTTGTAAATGGGTATTTATTTTCACTTTTATTATGGAAAATAAAGCATAATATTTTTTTAAAATCCACATGATAACCAAAAACGTTTGCGGTTTCTCTCTTCTTTTTAATATACACACTTTTCTCTCGTTGGAACTAATATAACCTCTTGCTTTTATTTATATATATATATATATATATATGTGTGTGTGTGTGACCTTATGTTTGAGAGATAGAAGAGGGAGGTGTGATTTTTATCTGGTTCTCAAGTGTTTCGTGTTTTATAGCCGGCAGATAAGTCTTTAAAGTGGTGCAGTCTGTGACATCCGCTTGATCGAATGGGAACAAGCTGGTAGCTAAACAAAAGAAAGCATTGGGGATAAAGTGACAACAAAGTCGGACACTGATAATTTCCGGCCACAGGTCTATATTAGCACAGTTGAGAGTTCGGTAGTCAGACCTGATACTACCCGTTTGTGTTGCCAGCCACGATATTGAGATAGGCAGTGAGTCAATGAAGAGTCGAAGGGGAGCTTGGATCTGTTACTTCGACATGACAGGAGCTGTCCCAAATGTCACCGGCCTTAACACCCAGATTGAACAAGCGAATCCTTGAATAAAACATCTAACTATATTGAAAACAGTTTGCGAGTTTTCATTTCTCAGTGCGGCGTTTATTTTTAGCTTTTGTTTAATTTATCTTCACTTATATTGCATTTTTCTTCTCCTCTTCAATAGTTTATATTATTACTCATCAGTTACAAAGTGCTTACTGGATAAAGCCACAATGGAATGGAAAAATAGTGTTTTGTGACAGTCACTGGTTAATGGGAGACTAAATTAATTTCAACAGGACAAAGATGTGGGAATGCTATTTATTTGGAGAAAAACACTAAAGCGAGTCAAGAGAAGCATAAATGTACAAAACTATATCCACCATCTTCTGTTCCTCTCACTATTCGTTTCGTATCTTTTAAAAGTAAAGGGTCACATTCTCAGTCTTTGCATCGCCTTTGTTGTTCCAGTAGAACTATAAGGTAAGTTGCATTATCTGTCCAAACTTTTTTCTCAGTTGTACCTGCGCCACTAAGTGTTTCTTCCTTTCTCACATCACCAAAACATACAACAGTAATCGATTACACACTTTTCGATCCGGCTGATCATTTGGTAACACAACAATAAATCGCCAAGTAAAATCAATGTCCACGTTTACAAGAATAGTAAAAATAGTAATGAATGTCTTTGAAAGTTATCGCTTATTATCCAGAAGTTAATCCAGATTAACCCACCAATGGCGGCAAAACAAAAATTCAGCCATTCGTTGTTTAAGCGATGATGGCAATCTATGACGTCTGAAGTTTATGAATTAAGACTGAAAATTTTCTTCTGGACTTTGAAGTTAAATGAAGCATAGATCTTCAATCATAAAACCACAATCAACCAAACATCGTTTATTTTAAATAAAAACATTCGTTTTCTACCGTTTATCAACCCTTTTCAGGTTATTTAACGCCAGAAAATATTTGTTAAATTATAAGAATATTTTTTTAGATAATAATGGTTTAGTAATACAAGTTTTACTGATTAACCCGTAGCTGGCGGAGAAGAGGTAGATACATACCTTTCCCAAGGGCATTCTCGCATAAGTGAATACAACGAACCCTACGGGAATTGGAATTACGCTGTCCTCACATGCAAGCTTACTACACTTGCTATTTCTAAACGGTCACCCATCTAGTTACTGATCAGGCTCGACGTTGCTTAACTCGGTGATCGTACAGGAACCGGTGTTTCAATGTGATGTGACCGTAAGCCATTTAAATTGAAGACCAATTCCTTTTATTTCGACAAGTATTTATATTCGGAAACTATATTATTCTTATAAAACAAGTTTCCCTGAGGAAAACATGTGTAAATGATTTTTAAAGAAATATTGCAATATCCCTTTTCAGTGAGTCTGCAAGGTTTGTTTAAATTCTTGACCACTGGCAATCTTAAATTCCCAGGGCAACATATATATTGAGTACTGAAGTTATTTAAAGCTATTTTGACGTTAAGTTTCAAAATTCAGTGTTTAATTATCATTTCTAACCTACCGAAAAAGCATTTACTGCAGAAAATGACTAAATGTGGCGTGGGTGGGCGACTGGTAGCATTAAAAAAGTTGAAATCTTGCCAAAGAATACCAAGTTCAAAGGCAGTCAGCACTAAAATACAACCGGTATTATTGCTTCTTTTTCTTCTATTTTCTCCAGAACCTGATATACATATACACACACACATTATATTTATAGTGATTATTAAAATGGATGCAGGGTAACTACGATATTTATCGGCCTAGGCCAGCAATCTTCGCCCATTTCTCTCTCCCCCACTAATTTTCGATTAGTAATTACATAAGATTATACCGATGATTCTAATGTGCCAACTGTTAAACACTAAGCAGCCTCTGTGTGCATAAAGAAATTTTAGTGTCCGAGGCGATCGCCTAGTTTACCTCATGCGTAGCGCAGGTCTTGATAGAATTTCATTGCTGAAGGAGGGAGGGGCAATGTCATGCAATGGTAGTATTTACTAACTTCAGCGTTTTTAAAAAAATGATGACAGAAAGATTGTGTTTGCACTAGACGTTCAAGGAATGAAAATAAGCATTGAAAATTTTGACATTTTATCTCTCCTCGAACATCAAAGGAGTGGCAAATAGGTAGCTATATTAATCAAAAAGCAGACCCCCATGTTTATACACATACACACACTCTCACTCACTCACTCTCTCTCATATCAAGAGGTGACAATAAAAAGTGTTCCCCCCGATCCCTTTTATAAAATCTTACCAAACATCAAACTTTTTTAAAGGGCTTCTTGAGAGACTTGTCAATCCCTGTTGCAGACACCTACTCAGGCACATTTGTGTTTGTTCAGAACCCACCCGTGGTTTATACTGCAACTATGCTGAGCAGACCATAGTTACAGTTTTTTGGAGAGAGCGTGTTTTCTCGCATGATCAACAACCTGAACAACGCCAACACACTCACACCCTCTGTCACGATGACTTCTAACCACAACCATAGAAGGTTTCCGAACAGTTACGTCTACCCAATTTCCCCCGAAAAGCTTGATTCAACCCGTGGAGTGGTTCTCAGACACTACCGTCAGAAATATATGGAGCCACCTCCCTAACAAATCGACGATGGTGAGAAGAGATCGTCAACATCTGCTATATATTGCGTTTACATTGATTTCAGGACATTTTCTGACCCCACGCTGTTTATAACTTTATACTCCTAACCCCCCCACTCCCCGATCCGTCCACGTATACATAAACTCGACACAAATTGAAAGGTTCCATTAAATAACACAACAGTTATCCCTTCCCCACCCCAAGTTGTTAACAATTAAAAGTTTTATTATTTTAAAAACATACGACTCGTAGCTTCTCCTTCAAAGAGAGAATTTATTTTCTTTATGGTGACTGCAATAAAACCCTAGAAAATAAGGAAAGGACGTAATATAGCAATACAATACATGAAATTAAAGCCCAGATGTTTTTTTTTAAGATTTATATCTAAAATGTGGAAAAGCAATGTGGTTGTGAGTAAAAAAAAATAGATAAAAATAAATTTAAATATTTTTTTAATCCATCCCCTCGATCCATGTGGACACTTCGAGGTGATGTAATAGTTAAACAAACTTGTCTAGATAGATCCGTTAAGTCTGAGTAGTGAGTTCCATCTTTATTGGGAACCCTATACTTTCGGCCTAGGCTGAGAGAATCACCATCTCTTCGACCCATGGTGTGCTGGATTTTTTATCTGCTGTTTTTCATCACTTTTAAAACACCCCGCCCATCCAAAATCATCTGCTTGACAAGCTTATCTTGTGTGAATGTCTAATGACAAAAAAAAAACAGGCAAAAAGGACTGGTGAATCGTTTTTCATATCCAATATTGACTTCTTTTCACCCAAGCAAGGTAATAAAGCCACTAAGACGCAAGGGGGTGTGACAGAATATTAGAAAAAAACACTTAAGGAGAGAGAACAATAAAAGAACAGGAATTGAGAAGACAGAAGATAACTATTGACATTTCAGTTTTCAAAGTAGACTGGAAATCAAGAATCGGGGAAAAGAGTTTCACAAGCGAAAAGTGCGACAAAAGAAACTGTTAGCATAGAACTTACGGTTACATCGAGCAGCCATTTCAACTAGTAGTACACATAAATTCATAAAGTCTATATACCAAAGAGGAAAGATCATCAGAACTATTACTATGACAATATTTATACAAAAGGTACAGAGAAACACCTTATACGATACATAAATACTTTAATTAAAATTTGAATTATAGCGTTCCAAAACTGTGTCAGGTTGTAACGAATAGAATCTTATTTACATTATTCGGACTGTTGTCCTCATCTTTGTCGCCATATTTATTATAAAGTTTCAACTGTTGTACGCTCCGGCCTTCTTCAGGTGGTTGGAATGTCGAACTGAACCTTTATTTCGCTCACTGGGGTACACTGTTCTAGTTCCACGTGCCATGTCTAATGGATGTCAGTTATCAGTTATCTCCTGTTTTTCTCTGAAAGTTCTCCACTGCTTTAACCGGGTATTGAACTCGCACTTTTTGGATACTGTCACTGGATCTAACCAACGCCTTTATCCACTGTGCCATGTGTCCTTGAGGACACATGGCGCAGTGGAACTAGAACAGTCTACGCCAGTGAGCGAAGTAAAGGCTTGAGTTCGACATTCCAGCCACTTGAAGAAGGCCGGAGCGTACAACGGCCGAAACGTTGTAATAAAGATGGCGACAAAGATGAGGACAATAGTCCGAATAATATAAATAATGTACATAATACCTCATCTCAGAAATATAGATACTGAATAGAATCTTGTCTATTATACTAATAACATTCAGTTCCTGATAGGGATAAAAACAGAACAAAAACATTAGATTTGGATAGATTCTTTGCAATCGTGATTAATGCGTACATCAACTGCTCTGGGTACAATGCGTCATGTATTTGAGAACATATTTAGCGCGCTATAAACGAAAGGCGAACTAACGTAATACTATGTGGGATTTGCCGTATTTTACCATTCTTATTAGTAACTGCTTCCAAAGTAAAACAGGAAATGGAACGATACACCGTGCTCGTGGCTTCAGTTGACGCGAAGATAGCGAACTTCTTGAAATTGATCAGGTAAATAGGGGGTATGTTAGTGTTTTCTGTGTAAACATTGCGTTCTATTTGAAAAAGTAGTCTCTGATCCTAGGCGAACTAGATCTCCACTGAAAAAATACAAAGACTCTTTAAAAAGGACCTAAATCTCCTGCAGTCTCAAACATCGACATTGAAAAAGACAAGCGACTGAAATAGAGAGACAACCTCTCCCGCTGAAGGAAGCAAACAAGCCGCAGTAAAAGTTAGTACGGCAAGGCTCGAACTTTCGTCATTTGTTTGATCTTCTCAAGCAATCGATGTGAAAAAAAAAGCATGCCTCTTGATTATTGGCCACACTAAACAAGTGAATTCTGAAACAGGGATGAAAAAACTCAAAAAAAAAAAAATATTGATTTAAGAAGTCAAACTATAAAGTTTGACTATTTCAAGCTTCTTTGTCATCCGTACCAAGGCTACTAATTACCTTCTAAATATACCGCAATTCACCAAGTGAAAAGTCACGTTTAAAGCAACGTTCCCTATTAAAACTAATCTTGTTTTGTAGTTACTACAATATAACGACCTTTACTCTGAATCACCTTGACCTTGGGTGTGCCTGGTCCTTGAAATGTTCTTATGCGCAATTTACTCAGTTTGTACACCTACTAATGAAATGCAAAATCACCAAAATTTCATAAATGTAACAAAAGAGGCTTATATCCAAATAAGGCCAAGGACATTAACTATTTGGTACACTAGTACTTAGTGAAATTTTACATTTCATTGGCAGTTAAGCTGGAGAGTAGTAATTTTTTTTTTTTTTTTAAAGGAAACACTACATTGCATAGTTGCAAATGACCGTCTGCTTTCACTGAAATGTAGGAATAAAAAAAAAGTGGAATTACGGATAGTCAAATACCAGCTGCAATTACCAAGCACAAACACGTTGCCGATAAATACCTAACAAACAAATGAATTAGTAAAATTATTTAAAGTTGAAGCCTTAGCGCAAAGTGCGTTTGGCTTGGCACTTGACAAAATAAAAAAGAAATTACGTTTAGCGTATGTCATGTAAAAATAAGATGTGGCTAGTGTAACGGTTATTACAGCAGAAAGTGAAACTGACGAGCCAAGTTCAAATTCCAGCGTAATAGTTGCATTCACTTTTACACTAATTCCCTTAATAAACGCATGGATTTATATTTTCTCTACTCACAAACTATGGGTTAAATAGTTTAAACTGCAAACTCTACACTTGTGTGGAAGCAATTCTAAGAGTAAGAAAATTCTGAATTCAAAAGCCGTGGATAAACAACTAGAAACCATTCCACTATCTTTCTCAATAATTCACAGATAATAAAGAGAAGGAAATTGTGGAGATCCATGATCGCCAGCGTCCTGAATGGATATGGTATTTTAAAAGAGAGTATTTGCATAATATATTACTAAAAATGTAATTAGTCATGCAGACCACTACCGCTGTAATGTGTCCGCTCGATTCTTATTGAGAGCTTTACACCTGTAGCCTTAAGCCAGACTAAATCCTTCAATGGCTAGCCAACTAATCTCGCAATCTATTACTAGTGAGTTTGATTCTAGTGAGAGATTAATCCAGCTACTATTTTAAAGTGTTAATATTGAAATGG